CAAGTTGTGCTTCTTTTGCGTGATCAATCTTTTGCTTCTCCTCGTGCCTACCATTCTCTTCTTCTGAACTATCCAACGAAAAAGCGACCAATTCATTGTCAAGTTTTCTTTTAACAGCTTCCGCTTTTCGTTGACTTGGAGTGACGAGTCATTAGCGTGGAATACTTTGTTTGCCTAGCTGTCAAGGCAGGCATTTCGTCTTTAAGGCTAGCCTTGGATCTTTTACCCTCTCTTTCCAGTTTAACATGTGGAGAGCCTCGCATTACCCAACGCCGCCAGAAAATAACCTTAATCAACAAAGTTCTACTTATGATTCTTTGGTTACGGAAATATCCCCATGTGGACACACTCTCTCTTTGGTTTGACATTGATCCGTCATCTGTTGTCCGCATATTCTACAAAGTTCTTTCAGAACTTTGGCACTACTTTCAAAATCAAATAAGTTGGCCCTATCTCCATGAATGGAGAAATGTTATGGGAAATTGGGAAGAATTTTCTAATGTAGTGGGTGCAGTAGACACCACACCACATGAGAACTATCGACCTCTAACCGAACCACCGTGGCCGTTCTATAGTGGCTATCAGCATTGAAGATTCTGAATTGGATAATCACTTGGAAAAAGAGATTTTGCTGATCTTGTAAAGGATGCCAAGTCAGTTGCAGCCCGCCAATTTTGAGTTGGACGAAATGACGTCATAAACATGGCCTGGCTACCAAGCCAGTTTTAAAATGGCAGCCTCCACATTTGCTTCTTTCGAGACGAATTTCTTCAAGATAGGGGGCACTTCAGAGGCTGAAACTTCTGTGAGTGGAAAAGCTGAATGTTTACTTGCCATAGGCGAAGACAAAAAGAGTAAGTTCTTTGAAATGACCTTCTCCTTTAAAGTGCCATAAAAATGGGAAGATATTCAGATGTAGAACCACTGCTAATATCAAGGAAGTTTGCAAAATTTCCAGCGTTGTGGAAAGCCATAGACCAAAACTACAAAAACGTAGCTGTGAAAGAAAATGCTTGGTGTGAGGAAGTGGAAGCTGTCAATCGGTACAACGATTTCTTCAACAACATCGGGCCCACAAGAGAAAGGAGATGGTCAAACCTTCCAGGTGTCATCCGGAAGTATTTTTAAAAGGACTTGTGGTCATTTTCACGCATTTCTTTCACCAGAGTATGCTGTTCACCCACTAGAAAGTGATTTTGAAAGACCTCTCTTACCCGATATCTCTTGAGGTATTTTCATCTTCTCTTTCACCTTTGTCATAGGTGAAAGAGAAGGAAACGCTTCTCTACAGCTGCCGCCAATACTTTGAATAAGCTCCCGCAATCTCCCACCAAATTGATATCCACAGACACCTTGATGTACATTCAACGCACATAAAAATGTATGCGTTGTATTTCATTTTTCCACCACAGTGGAAATTAGCAGCGTACGCTTTACAAACGTAAATTCACGCGACAGTGGAAATCCAACTTCAAACTGAGACTCTTCAAAACAGTCTAGAAGATACGGCGAAACTTAATAGGCTTTTGTTCATTATGCTAGCATTTTTTCGAGCATTTTAGTGAGGCAAAAGCATTAAGCATTATTCAAGCATTTTAGTGGCATTTTCTCAGAAAATTGACATTTTTTCCACAGAAAATAGAAATAAAAATTATTTTTATGAGAAAATGAAGACTTAACTTATCCTCTTCACTTATGTATCACTGGAAGGAGACAAAGGATTAACAGAAGAACAGATCATTTAGAGAATTATCTTTTGGCGTATTAAAACTATTACGTAGTCGTTGTTGTTAACTTGTTATACTAAGTGTACGTTTTTGTTAAGCACTCTGAACGATTAATTGTGTTGAAATGTTAAAATTATTAAAAATTTAAAAAACCCTATGTATGAGCATTAACCGAGCATTTTAGCATTTTTGGGGGGGAAACCAAGCATTGAAGGGGAAAAGATAGAGCATTAAGGTAGAGCATTTCAGTGGGAAAGTAAAAGCATAATGCACAAAAGCTAAAACATACTGAAACAGTTCTCAACAAATGTGCACACGTTCTGTTTATGTACTGAACTGTCTATAGACGCACAGTAATTGTGAATGCTGAAATGAAATTGGTTCTTGTTTGGGCTTGTTTTGGCATGTGTAAGTAGGCTTCATTTATTTGTTCTTGTCATCGAATAACAGACATAATGCATTGTTGTAGCTAAGCTTTATGAACGTTTCCAAGCGGCATCTGGAATGTCAACACAGATTGCCTCTAGATCTGTTCAGTGAAAAAGAGTTTAAAAACACTGTGTTGATTTGTCAGTTGTAGGCGCACATGCGGGAGTTCTATCTTTTTGCACACCCTCGTTAACATTTAAGGATTCTAATAATATTAGCATATAAGAATCAGGGTTTGTGAAATCACTCTACTTGGTAAAAACGTGTCGTACCTACCTTACCTTAAGGATATCATCACAAAGCTATATATTTGTTTTAGAAAAACCCTTGCTTTCCTTGCGG